AAAGAACCCAACCTTACATTGATCTCCACAAAGACCATTGATCTCATTTGACAACGAAGAAAACAGTCGTTGTTCGCATGATAGCGCTCGCTCGTCCGCAGACCCTCCGGTACAGTACCATCCTGCTTTACAAGGCCCGCTTGGAGCCGTGAGCCCTGTATCGTTGCAGTACATCCCAGCAGGACAGCTCGTGCACTGCGACACATTTGCAAGCCCCTCCTGCCCTCCGTACGTGCCCCGCGGACACCGTCCGGCCTCAAGGTTCTCCATGCCTTCCGGACAGTAATGCCCCAAGGGGCATGTAAAATTCAGGTGTTCAATTACTCCCTGACATGATGAGTCAGAATTGATTTTGATCAAACTGGAATGAATTTGCGTACTGGTTGACCACTCTGAGTCCAAAGCATGACTACCCACAAGAACAAAGATGTTTCGAGCTGACAATGCGACATCTGTTCTATTTTGCATGTAGCCCAGAGGTACTTCAATCGTGAAGATAAGGTAACCTGCATTGCTGTATTTTTGAACAAATACTATGTTTTCATTTTCTAAACATGTTCCATTCAAAACTTTTTGGAGTCGAGCTCCAGATATTATGATACCTCCGTGTTGGTCAATGTTCGTTGAATAAACAAACTCATCTGTATCATTTCCAAATGTTTTTACCCACAGAAACTGTCCACTGGAAGAGAATTTGATCAAGAAACCATCATAGCCACCATTGGAGACTTCTCCAAGAAATGACGCTGATCCATTTGACATACCAAACGAACCACCGACAAAAATATTTCCTATTCCATCACAAGCTACTGAAGAGACAGCCTCACTCACCGAGCCAAAGTCAGCTAATCTTTGAAACGATCCAGTTGAATCAAAAGACATCACAAAACAAAATCGATCCACACAAGAACCATCCATGCAGTTCAGGCTACTTAGACAGCCGGTAACAATGCATCCTCCAGCACCGTCGCTTGCTACTGCTCTGATGCTTTCATCCCCTCTCACGCTTACGTTCCTGCCCCAGTCTAAGCTTCCGTTCCCGCTGTACTTATACACCCATGAGCCTCCACCCGCCCCCCGCCAAGATACAAACACGTGATCCTGCCCCCCAGCAAGCCCCAGCCGGCTCCCAGCCATCATCTCTCCCAGGTCCCTTGACCACATGCTACCTCCTGTCGAGGCCGCGAGACTCCATACCCTGGACCCTGTCTCCCACCGCATGCCTACGTACACACTCCCCGCCTCGTCTACTCCGATCCCCTCCGCCATGGTGCTTCCTTCGCCTCCTGCTACTTCCCTTCTCCACACTTCGGTCCCGTCCACCCTGTGCTTGGTTACGTAGACCTCGTATCCCCCCTGACCTCCCTGGCCCCCGCTATTGTTCCACACGCTCACGCTGACATACAGGCTGTCGTCCCGTCCATGCGCTACCCCGCCTATCAGACTGGCCGCCCCTCCGACCAGCTCCTGCGTCCAGCTCGGCATCCCGACGTCAGGATCGGCGCACGCCTCGAGCCCCTCTACTGCATACGCTCGCCCTCTCGCATAGTCCACGACTGCGCCTGGGCTACAGATGTACCCGGGCGGACATGGCTTGCAGCTCGTCTGCATCGCTTCCTGGTTGTACGTCCCGGGCTCGCATGGAGCGGGTAGAGAGTCTCCGCCTGCACAGTAGGTCCCTGGAGGACAAGGCGAGGGTGCCTCGGACCCTGCTATGCAGTAGTGCCCCGCTGGACACGGTATTACTCTCCGCCGCCCTGAGGGCGACTCCGCGTCGACGAGCGTCGACGAGTCATTCGCCCCTGCCTCGCAGAATATCCCCGCTATGCACTCCCCCGTGCTCTGTGTAATACCTACTGAGGCGCAGTACCGACCCGCCGGACACAGGCGGCACTCAGACTCTGCCTCGAGTCCGAGCGAGCTGCTGTATGTGCCGATGGGACACGGAGTAGGCGACGAGCAGTTCGACTCGCAGTAGTATCCTGCTGGACATACCGTCGGTTGGATGGTCCCTGGCTGTACGCATGCTTTCCCGCTCGGGCACCCCTGGCAAGCGGCCAGCCCTGGTGAAGGCCCGTACGTCCCGGGGCTGCAAGGATGTGCAACGCTGGTTCCAGAAGGGCAGTAGGACCCCGACGGACATAGGACAGTGCCGTCTGGTCCGGAGGCTGAGAGCATACCGGGACAGAAGTATCCAGGCTTACACACCTTGCAGGCGCTCTGGCCTACTTGATCTTGGTAGTAACCTGCATGACACGGCTCTGGGTCTATGCGAGTTCTCAGGACACGCATGTCCAACATAGCACTCATTTTTACGTGGATTAATCGTTCCAGATGGACAGTAGAATCCTGCTGGGCAAGTTTGTGGTATGCTAGTGTTCTCTGTAGGACAGAAGTATCCTGCCGAGCAGCTTTGGCAATCATTTACAGTTTGGCTCAGCACAACCCCAGAAAATGTTCCTGGCGGACAACTGGTTGGTTGTACAGTTCCGACCGGACAGTAGAATCCCGGTGGGCAGGGACCGAAGCCTGAAATTGTTCCGTTCGGCCGTGCTTCGAATCCTCCCGATAATGAGCAATAGTAACCAGCGCCGCTGTACCACAGTACATTCCTGCTGGGCAATCTGTGGGCTCCCACGAGCCCGTAGGGCATATGGAGCCCAAGGGACACTCCCCGCCGCAAGTCCCATTGGGCATGACTCTTGCTATATCTTGGTTGCACTCTCCGCTCTGACATACCCGAGACCGTGGATCGCATGATAGCGCTCGCTCGTCCGCAGACCCTCCGGTACAGTACCATCCTGCTTTACAAGGCCCGCTTGGAGCCGTGAGCCCTGTATCGTTGCAGTACATCCCAGCAGGACAGCTCGTGCACTGCGACACATTTGCAAGCCCCTCCTGCCCTCCGTACGTGCCCCGCGGACACCGTCCGGCCTCAAGGTTCTCCATGCCTTCCGGACAGTAGTGCCCCAAGGGACATACGAGGCTGCCAATGTCTCCTACTCCCCTGCAGTCTGCTGACGACGAGAAAGCTGACACCTGGACTCCCTGTCCTTGGTTGCTCGTGTTGAGTACGACAGCTACCTCTAGCCCGCTGCTCCCCTCGGCTATGATCCCTCCCAATCCGCCCATGCGCTCCCCTGCTACGACCCTCGTCCACCCCCGCTCGCCGTAAGCGTTCAGCTTCATAACGAAAGCGCTGTAGCTCCCTGCCTGTATGCTCCCTTGCTCTGCTGGCATGTCCGTGTACCCCAGGAGGTATATGCCCCCGTACGCGTCTGTGCTCACCGACTCCCCTTCCTCGTTCCACTCCGACCCCACCACGGCCCTCCATCGCTCCTTGCCTTCTGCAGAAACCACGGCAAGAAAAGCGTCCCTCTGCTCAAGCGCTCCTGTCCACTCCGCTCCTACAAGCCTGACCCGCGATGCTGATATGAAGTCACTGCCTGTACCGCTGCTCCCTTCTCCGGTCCCGACCGATCCTGTATACCCTACCACTATTGTCCTCCCCAGCCTGTCTGTTGTCACTCCTCTGGCGACCTGCTCTCCTGCCCACTGCAGTACCTCCGTCCAATCAATGGACCCCGTCTTGTTGACATGGTAGACATAGACATCCCGCTCCTGTGCAGCTCCCGCAGACCCGTTGTACACTTCGCCTACTACGACTGCTCCTCCAGCACCGTCGCTTGCTACTGCTCTGATGCTTTCATCCCCTCTCACGCTTACGTTCCTGCCCCAGGCTAAGCTTCCGTTCCCGCTGTACTTATACAGCCATGAGCCTCCACCCGCCCCCCGCCAAGATACAAACACGTGATCCTGCCCCCCAGCAAGCCCCAGCCGGCTCCCAGCCATCATCTCTCCCAGGTCCCTTGACCACATGCTACCTCCTGTCGAGGCCGCGAGACTCGATACCCTGGACCCTGTCTCCCACCGCATGCCTACGTACACACTCCCCGCCTCGTCTACTCCGATCCCCTCCGCCATGGTGCTTCCTTCGCCTCCTGCTACTTCCCTTCTCCACACTTCGGTCCCGTCCACCCTGTGCTTGGTTACGTAGACCTCGTATCCCCCCTGACCTCCCTGGCCCCCGCTATTGTTCCACACGCTCACGCTGACATACAGGCTGTCGTCCCGTCCATGCGCTACCCCGCCTATCAGACTGGCCGCCCCTCCGACCAGCTCCTGCGTCCAGCTCGGCATCCCGACGTCAGGATCGGCGCACGCCTCGAGCCCCTCTACTGCATACGCTCGCCCTCTCGCATAGTCCACGACTGCGCCTGGGCTACAGATGTACCCGGGCGGACATGGCTTGCAGCTCGTCTGCATCGCTTCCTGGTTGTACGTCCCGGGCTCGCATGGAGCGGGTAGAGAGTCTCCGCCTGCACAGTAGGTCCCTGGAGGACAAGGCGAGGGTGCCTCGGACCCTGCTATGCAGTAGTGCCCCGCTGGACACGGTATTACTCTCCGCCGCCCTGAGGGCGACTCCGCGTCGACAAGCGTCGACGAGTCATTCGCCCCTGCCTCGCAGAATATCCCCGCTATGCACTCCCCCGTGCTCTGTGTAATACCTACTGAGGCGCAGTACCGACCCGCCGGACACAGGCGGCACTCAGACTCTGCCTCGAGTCCGAGCGAGCTGCTGTATGTGCCGATGGGACACGGAGTAGGCGACGAGCAGTTCGACTCGCAGTAGTATCCTGCTGGACATACCGTCGGTTGGATGGTCCCTGGCTGTACGCATGCTTTCCCGCTCGGGCACCCCTGGCAAGCGGCCAGCCCTGGTGAAGGCCCGTACGTCCCGGGGCTGCAAGGATGTGCAACGCTGGTTCCAGAAGGGCAGTAGGACCCCGACGGACATAGGACAGTGCCGTCTGGTCCGGAGGCTGAGAGCGTACCGGGACAGAAGTATCCAGGCTTACACACCTTGCAGGCGCTCTGGCCTACTTGATCTTGGTAGTAACCTGCACTGCATGGTTTGGGATAAAACCGACCTGCGGGACATTCACTGCCAATCGGACACTCATTTTTACGTGGATTAATCGTTCCAGATGGACAGTAGAATCCTGCTGGGCAAGTTTGTGGTATGCTAGTGTTCTCTGTAGGACAGAAGTATCCTGCCGAGCAGCTTTGGCAATCATTTACAGTTTGGCTCAGCACAACCCCAGAAAATGTTCCTGGCGGACAACTGGTTGGTTGTACAGTTCCGACCGGACAGTAGAATCCCGGTGGGCAGGGACCGAAGCCTGAAATTGTTCCGTTCGGCCGTGCTTCGAATCCTCCCGATAATGAGCAATAGTAACCAGCGTCACAGCCACCCGAGACAGCTGCAAGGCCATCCATGTTACAATACGATCCAGCCAAGCAAGGAAGTGGATATGATGAGCCCACTGGACAAAAGAACCCAACCTTACATTGACCTCCACAAAGACCATTGATCTCATTTGACAACGAAGAAAACAGTCGTTGTCCGCATGATAGCGCTCGCTCGTCCGCAGACCCTCCGGTACAGTACCATCCTGCTTTACAAGGCCCGCTTGGAGCCGTGAGCCCTGTATCGTTGCAGTACATCCCAGCAGGACAGCTCGTGCACTGCGACACATTTGCAAGCCCCTCCTGCCCTCCGTACGTGCCCCGCGGACACCGTCCGGCCTCAAGGTTCTCCATGCCTTCCGGACAGTAGTGCCCCAAGGGACATACGAGGCTGCCAATGTCTCCTACTCCCCTGCAGTCTGCTGACGACGAGAAAGCTGACACCTGGACTCCCTGTCCTTGGTTGCTCGTGTTGAGTACGACAGCTACCTCCAGCCCGCTGCTCCCCTCGGCTATGATCCCTCCCAATCCGCCCATGCGCTCCCCTGCTACGACCCTCGTCCACCCCCGCTCTCCGTAAGCGTTCAGCTTCATAACGAAAGCGCTGTAGCTCCCTGCCTGTATGCTCCCTTGCTCTGCTGGCATGTCCGTGTACCCCAGGAGGTATATGCCCCCGTACGCGTCTGTGCTCACCGACTCCCCTTCCTCGTTCCACTCCGACCCCACCACGGCCCTCCATCGCTCCTTGCCTTCTGCAGAAAACCACGGCAAGAAAAGCGTCCCTCTGCTCAAGCGCTCCTGTCCACTCCGCTCCTACAAGCCTGACCCGCGATGCTGATATGAAGTCACTGCCTGTACCGCTGCTCCCTTCTCCGGTCCCGACCGATCCTGTATACCCTACCACTATTGTCCTCCCCAGCCTGTCTGTTGTCACTCCTCTGGCGACCTGCTCTCCTGCCCACTGCAGTACCTCCGTCCAATCAATGGACCCCGTCTTGTTGACATGGTAGACATAGACATCCCGCTCCTGTGCAGCTCCCGCAGACCCGTTGTACACTTCGCCTACTACGACTGCTCCTCCAGCACCGTCGCTTGCTACTGCTCTGATGCTTTCATCCCCTCTCACGCTTACGCTCCTGCCCCAGGCTAAGCTTCCGTTCCCGCTGTACTTATACAGCCATGAGCCTCCACCCGCCCCCCGCCAAGATACAAACACGTGATCCTGCCCCCCAGCAAGCCCCAGCCGGCTCCCAGCCATCATCTCTCCCAGGTCCCTTGACCACATGCTACCTCCTGTCGAGGCCGCAAGACTCGATACCCTGGACCCTGTCTCCCACCGCATGCCTACGTACACACTCCCCGCCTCGTCTACTCCGATCCCCTCCGCCATGGTGCTTCCTTCGCCTCCTGCTACTTCCCTTCTCCACACTTCGGTCCCGTCCACCCTGTGCTTGGTTACGTAGACCTCGTATCTCCCCTGACCTCCCTGGCCCCCGCTATTGTTCCACACGCTCACGCTGACATACCGGCTGTCGTCCCGTCCATGCGCTACCCCGCCTATCAGACTGGCCGCCCCTCCGACCAGCTCCTGCGTCCAGCTCGGCATCCCGACGTCAGGATCGGCGCACGCCTCGAGCCCCTCTACTGCATACGCTCGCCCTCTCGCATAGTCCACGACTGCGCCTGGGCTACAGATGTACCCGGGCGGACATGGCTTGCAGCTCGTCTGCATCGCTTCCTGGTTGTACGTCCCGGGCTCGCATGGAGCGGGTAGAGAGTCTCCGCCTGCACAGTAGGTCCCTGGAGGACAAGGCGAGGGTGCCTCGGACCCTGCTATGCAGTAGTGCCCCGCTGGACACGGTATGACTCTCCGCCGCCCTGAGGGCGACTCCACGTCGACAAGCGTCGACGAGTCATTCGCCCCTGCCTCGCAGAATATCCCCGCTATGCACTCCCCCGTGCTCTGTGTAATACCTACTGAGGCGCAGTACCGACCCGCCGGACACAGGCGGCACTCAGACTCTGCCTCGAGTCCGAGCGAGCTGCTGTATGTGCCGATGGGACACGGAGTAGGCGACGAGCAGTTCGACTCGCAGTAGTATCCTGCTGGACATACCGTCGGTTGGATGGTCGCAATGTCGCTGCATACAAATCCAGCTGGACAATCCAAGCAATTTGTTTGGCCTGATTGGTCTGTGTACGTCCCCGCTCTGCATGGCTTTGGTTCTATTGTCTGTGTTTCACAATAAAATCCTGCTGGGCAAGGTATTAATCTATTTTCAGACGTCCATTGGGATGTGTTTGGAGGGCAGTAATACCGTTCAGGGCACTCTTTACAGGCGCTCTGGCCTACTTGATCTTGGTATTGTCCCAAACAACAAGCGGTAGGAATTGCATTTCGACCATCGCAGAAGTGACCCACAGGACAAATGAAAGCAAGGTCGAATCCCACCGACATGCCTAAAGGACAGTAATATCCGTAAGGACAGGTAAAATTAGTTCCAAACGTCAGAGCTTCTTCAGGACAAAAGTATCCTGCTGGGCAAGCTTCACAATCGCTGACATTTCTGTTTCCAACAGTCCCTGAGAACGTCCCCCGAGGACAGCTTATAGGCTGCAAGGTCCCGGCTGGACAGTAGTGCCCTTGCGGACATGGTCCCCGACCCCTGAGGCCCTCCCAGGGCCTTGGCGTACTGCCCCCAAGCCCGCCCAAAGCACCTTGGCAGTAGTACCCTGCATCGCAAGGTCCTGTCGGCAGGTGTCGCAGCCCCGCTGTACCACAGTACATTCCTGCTGGGCAATCTGTGGGCTCCCACGAGCCCGTAGGGCATATGGAGCCCAAGGGACACTCCCCGCCGCAAGTCCCATTGGGCATGACTCTTGCTATATCTTGGTTGCACTCTCCGCTCTGACATACCCGAGACCGTGGATCGCACGATAGCGCTCGCTCGTCCGCAGACCCTCCGGTACAGTACCATCCTGCTTTACAAGGCCCGCTTGGAGCCGTGAGCCCTGTATCGTTGCAGTACATCCCAGCAGGACAGCTCGTGCACTGCGACACATTTGCAAGCCCCTCCTGCCCTCCGTACGTGCCCCGCGGACACCGTCCGGCCTCAAGGTTCTCCATGCCTTCCGGACAGTAGTGCCCCAAGGGACATACGAGGCTGCCAATGTCTCCTACTCCCCTGCAGTCTGCTGACGACGAGAAAGCTGACACCTGGACTCCCTGTCCTTGGTTGCTCGTGTTGAGTACGACAGCTACCTCCAGCCCGCTGCTCCCCTCGGCTATGATCCCTCCCAATCCGCCCATGCGCTCCCCTGCTACGACCCTCGTCCACCCCCGCTCGCCGTAAGCGTTCAGCTTCATAACGAAAGCGCTGTAGCTCCCTGCCTGTATGCTCCCTTGCTCTGCTGGCATGTCCGTGTACCCCAGGAGGTATATGCCCCCGTACGCGTCTGTGCTCACCGACTCCCCTTCCTCGTTCCACTCCGACCCCACCACGGCCCTCCATCGCTCCTTGCCTTCTGCAGAAACCACGGCAAGAAAAGCGTCCCTCTGCTCAAGCGCTCCTGTCCACTCCGCTCCTACAAGCCTGACCCGCGATGCTGATATGAAGTCACTGCCTGTACCGCTGCTCCCTTCTCCGGTCCCGACCGATCCTGTATACCCTACCACTATTGTCCTCCCCAGCCTGTCTGTTGTCACTCCTCTGGCGACCTGCTCTCCTGCCCACTGCAGTACCTCCGTCCAATCAATGGACCCCGTCTTGTTGACATGGTAGACATAGACATCCCGCTCCTGTGCAGCTCCCGCAGACCCGTTGTACACTTCGCCTACTACGACTGCTCCTCCAGCACCGTCGCTTGCTACTGCTCTGATGCTTTCATCCCCTCTCACGCTTACGTTCCTGCCCCAGGCTAAGCTTCCGTTCCCGCTGTACTTATACAGCCATGAGCCTCCACCCGCCCCCCGCCAAGATACAAACACGTGATCCTGCCCCCCAGCAAGCCCCAGCCGGCTCCCAGCCATCATCTCTCCCAGGTCCCTTGACCACATGCTACCTCCTGTCGAGGCCGCGAGACTCGATACCCTGGACCCTGTCTCCCACCGCATGCCTACGTACACACTCCCCGCCTCGTCTACTCCGATCCCCTCCGCCATGGTGCTTCCTTCGCCTCCTGCTACTTCCCTTCTCCACACTTCGGTCCCGTCCACCCTGTGCTTGGTTACGTAGACCTCGTATCCCCCCTGACCTCCCTGGCCCCCGCTATTGTTCCACACGCTCACGCTGACATACAGGCTGTCGTCCCGTCCATGCGCTACCCCGCCTATCAGACTGGCCGCCCCTCCGACCAGCTCCTGCGTCCAGCTCGGCATCCCGACGTCAGGATCGGCGCACGCCTCGAGCCCCTCTACTGCATACGCTCGCCCTCTCGCATAGTCCACGACTGCGCCTGGGCTACAGATGTACCCGGGCGGACATGGCTTGCAGCTCGTCTGCATCGCTTCCTGGTTGTACGTCCCGGGCTCGCACGGAGCGGGTAGATAGTCTCCGCCTGCACAGTAGGTCCCTGGAGGACAAGGCGAGGGTGCCTCGGACCCTGCTATGCAGTAGTGCCCCGCTGGACACGGTATGACTCTCCGCCGCCCTGAGGGCGACTCCGCGTCGACGAGCGTCGACGAGTCATTCGCCCCTGCCTCGCAGAATATCCCCGCTATGCACTCCCCCGTGCTCTGTGTAATACCTACTGAGGCGCAGTACCGACCCGCCGGACACAGGCGGCACTCAGACTCTGCCTCGAGTCCGAGCGAGCTGCTGTATGTGCCGATGGGACACGGAGTAGGCGACGAGCAGTTCGACTCGCAGTAGTATCCTGCTGGACATACCGTCGGCGTGATGGTCCCTGGCTGTACGCATGCTTTCCCGCTCGGGCACCCCTGGCAAGCGGCCAGCCCTGGTGAAGGCCCGTACGTCCCGGGGCTGCAAGGATGTGCAACGCTGGTTCCAGAAGGGCAGTAGGACCCCGACGGACATAGGACAGTGCCGTCTGGTCCGGAGGCTGAGAGCGTACCGGGACAGAAGTATCCAGGCTTACACACCTTGCAGGCGCTCTGGCCTACTTGATCTTGGTAGTAACCTGCATGACACGGCTCTGGGTCTATGGAGTTCTCAGGACACGCATGTCCAACATAGCAAGCTTTAGATTGTGGGTTTGGAACTATCTCTCCAAAGCCGCAGAAATATCCCGCCTGGCAATAAACAAGGTCAACATATCGCATCGACGCATTCGGGCAGAAGTATCCTGCTGGGCAAGCTTCACAATCGCTGACATTTCTGTTTCCAACAGTCCCTGAGAACGTCCCCCGAGGACAGCTTATAGGCTGCAAGGTCCCGGCTGGACAGTAGTGCCCTTGCGGACATGGTCCCCGACCCCTGAGGCCCTCCCAGGGCCTTGGCGTACTGCCCCCAAGCCCGCCCAAAGCACCTTGGCAGTAGTACCCTGCATCGCAAGGTCCTGTCGGCAGGTGTCGCAGCCCCGCTGTACCACAGTACATTCCTGCTGGGCAATCTGTGGGCTCCCACGAGCCCGTAGGGCATATGGAGCCCAAGGGACACTCCCCGCCGCAAGTCCCATTGGGCATGACTCTTGCTATATCTTGGTTGCACTCTCCGCTCTGACATACCCGAGACCGTGGATCGCACGATAGCGCTCGCTCGTCCGCAGACCCTCCGGTACAGTACCATCCTGCTTTACAAGGCCCGCTTGGAGCCGTGAGCCCTGTATCGTTGCAGTACATCCCAGCAGGACAGCTCGTGCACTGCGACACATTTGCAAGCCCCTCCTGCCCTCCGTACGTGCCCCGCGGACACCGTCCGGCCTCAAGGTTCTCCATGCCTTCCGGACAGTAGTGCCCCAAGGGACATACGAGGCTGCCAATGTCTCCTACTCCCCTGCAGTCTGCTGACGACGAGAAAGCTGACACCTGGACTCCCTGTCCTTGGTTGCTCGTGTTGAGTACGACAGCTACCTCCAGCCCGCTGCTCCCCTCGGCTATGATCCCTCCCAATCCGCCCATGCGCTCCCCTGCTACGACCCTCGTCCACCCCCGCTCGCCGTAAGCGTTCAGCTTCATAACGAAAGCGCTGTAGCTCCCTGCCTGTATGCTCCCTTGCTCTGCTGGCATGTCCGTGTACCCCAGGAGGTATATGCCCCCGTACGCGTCTGTGCTCACCGACTCCCCTTCCTCGTTCCACTCCGACCCCACCACGGCCCTCCATCGCTCCTTGCCTTCTGCAGAAACCACGGCAAGAAAAGCGTCCCTCTGCTCAAGCGCTCCTGTCCACTCCGCTCCTACAAGCCTGACCCGCGATGCTGATATGAAGTCACTGCCTGTACCGCTGCTCCCTTCTCCGGTCCCGACCGATCCTGTATACCCTACCACTATTGTCCTCCCCAGCCTGTCTGTTGTCACTCCTCTGGCGACCTGCTCTCCTGCCCACTGCAGTACCTCCGTCCAATCAATGGAAAGATCTGGGAGTATGCGACCCGAAGACA